TTAATGTTGGGAAAGTGTGAAGGCAAGAGGAGAAGGGGACGACAGAGGATGAGATGGTTGGACAGTGTCACCGAAGCAACCAACATGAATCTGACCCAACTCTGGGAGGCAGTGGAAGATTGGAGGACCTGGCGTGCTCTGGTCCATAGGGTCACGAAGAGTCGGACACAACTAAACAAAACGAAACTTACATTTTTTTCCCTTGGGTAACTCAGAGAAACTGTGGCTTCCAGTCTCCTCCTACCATTGTGTTGCAGAGATTTCAATTTTTTCTTAATTTCCTGTAGCAGTACAGCAGAAGTGCAGGGATTCAACAGCAGGACAGCTTCAAGTTCTCCAGATTAGTCCACACCCTTTCTCATTAACTGGTACTTACAATCTCAGTAATTTTAATCATAGAAAGAATAAAAACTTTCTTACAGATCAACAACAAACTGACAAACATGACTGTCTTCAGCGATAGAATTAAAGAGACTCAAGAGGGGAAAATGCTCAGAGCAGAGAGGTGGGGCTGTCTTTAAATTCAGAGGGAGGGGGAACAATTGGTTAGTGCTGGATAGACTGGCAGTCACCCCAGTCCAGAAAGGTTCCTTCCAGCCACACCTTCTCCAAGCAGCATGCAAGGTTGAAGGACATCCAACACATTGAGGCACTGATTAGCTCCACACCAATGTAAGACAGAGATGATAAGTACTTTGTTGTTCTAAGTGGAGATCATATATTGCAGGAGAGGCAGAGGGAGAGCTAGTGACAATTGCGATATTGCTGGAGTCTGATCCTATCAACCTCAGCAAACACCACCATTGGACAGAAGTGATGAGAGCTTAAGTCCAGCAGCTTCTGAAGAGTCAAAAAGTCAGCCATCCTTTGGCACCTAAGTGTTCAATTAAGTGTATGTAAAGATTCCTATTAGCTTTAAAAAGAACAGTGGTGAGCTGTAAAGGCAAAAGAAGAGTGAGAGGATTTAATTCAGAAAAATAATACACAAAATAGATTGTTTCATATTAATCTAAATTGACATTTCCTGCAAGGTCAGTAAAATTTCCACAATCTGGCTCAGTAAGGAATTGTCTCTTGGGCTTGAGGGCAAACACAAAAACAGTTTTTGCTGGACATTTGATAGTCCAGGAATTTCCCAAGCGTTTGAATTTCTTTGTTTGCCATCTCTCTCTTAGGCAAGGTAGCTAAGTGGAGCCTCCATATTTAGAGTACATACTTAGGTACTAATTGCTGGGAAAGGCAACTATGTGAGACACTGCGGGTGTCTCGAGAACATCACATTAGTCACTGCTTGAAGAGTATGCTGTGCAAGATGCATCACTGGCTTGATCCAGCAGGATGTTCCTTATGCTCTTATTCATGGGTTGCATTCAGAGCTGAAATTAATACTTGGAGTAGACTAGTTACAGTAATATCAATGGAACTTTAGTTGCCCATGAGTAAAGACTGTGGCTAAGTCTGGATCCAACTCTACAGCCAGCATCTTATCATTAATCTCAACGAGAGAGTAGTTCTACTGAATCAATTGCTGAATAATAAGCAAAACTTATGTAAATCCCATTGAAGCTATGGGTCTTACTCTAGTTCAGATGAGCAATAGGATACTGGCCCATGTGTCCAAGGAAGCTTGATTTAGAACTTCAAAAAAATATATTTAGGATTTCTTTTTTGCTAGTGATCATGCTGGCTGTGGCATCCTGGGGTTTGCAGGGCAAAAAGGGTAATACTTCTAAACTCTGGCTTTGTTTTAAGACTTAAATTGAAGCAATTGAAAATATTCTGTGAATAACCTGAACATTCACTTCAGTTTTGTTGAAATGACTGGATATTGTTTATTCTTGCATATTTTTATTTTCTGTTATATGTATTTGGGTCTGTATTTTTATTTGTCTGGAAGTCGCCTAGAGTGGTCGTTTTGACCAGATAGGCGGGATACAAACAAACAAACAAACAAACAAACAAACAAACAAACAAACAAACAAACAAACAAACAAACAAACAGAGCTTTCATTTTGAGCCCAGCAGTCGGGGTAGCCTTTCAGAATGGTTTTGTCCCGATTTCATTTTTTTAAAAGATAAGTTTATTAGGAATAGAGATTTTTAAAAATCTTTTGATTCCTGTGAAGAAATTAAATACTACCTAGCTTGTAATATATATTAAACAAGCTAACCTTGCTAATTAGATACAGCTGCCACAGTAGTTGGCTACTAACAAGTGGCTGATAAAATTATGTTTATTTATTAAACAGGGCCATATGCTTCTTTGAGGGTCACCTGCATCTATTTCATTTGGACCGTTGGCTCCTCCCTTTTTCTGCAGAAGTCCCAGGCTAAGCCACCAGCTGTAGTGGAAATGATCCCAGGACTTTCTAAGCAGCTTCTAAATGGCCCGGGACCTGCAGAACACTCATGTTCCTGTATGAATATCTGCTCCCAAATGAGCTTCTTCTGTCCAGGCTGTGGGTTAGATTCCTTCATCTTTCCAGGAAGAAGAGTAAGAAAGAGATTTCCAGGAATAAGAAAGACTGAGGTGGATTTATTTACACTTTGTCATGTGCTGACTGTATGTTCTGGAATAACAAGGGTAGTCAGCAACTTCCTGCTGTTTCCCTAAATATTTCTATTATCCTGTTTTAGACCCTTCCGTGCTGCTTTTCTATGTTGCTTTACTGCTAAGGATTTCACAGACATTCATGAGCATATAGGTAAATCACGGTGTTTACTCCCTTGCATTCCTTCTTTCAAGCATGTCTTGGGAGTTATCCTCCACCCCTATGATCTGCTATCCTTTCCTCTCTGCAGCAGCTCTTAACTTTTGAAAGTCAAAGTGGGACAACATGGAAGCAATTCCCAACCTAGTCCAGCCTTGCCTGGCTCAGATGTCTGGGCTGTTGCTGCTGTTTCTCAAAGTTGTAGTCAGCCTGATGTGAACAGGCACATTTGCCTTCTGGCTTAAATAAGCTCAGGCTCACAATATCTAAAAGCTGGGCTCCTCCCATATGCACCTGCCCATAATGCATAGAGTACTCTGAACCACAGAGGCCCATGTGGAGCTTGGCTGCATGCAGGTACATGAGATTGGATTTGAAGCACAGCAGCTTTAGAACTCTGGAATTCCATTCCTAGAGAGGCTGTATTAAATCCACCTCGCTTTAACATCTGTCGGTGGGCCATGAAACCTGTGTTAGCCCATCATGTACTGATTTTATCTCCTTTTTTAAAGTTAATGTGCTTTAAATTATTTTTAATGGATTAGTATTATCATTTTTCAGTCTATTTTACCTACCCATTTTTTGTATGTTATTATTGACACTTGCTATTATCTGCATCCATTTTAATTTTCTAAGTTGCCGTAAATCCCAGTTCGGAGCAAAAAGGGGAATGCAAATAAAATAAATATATAAATAAATAAAATCAAACATTTCATAGGCTTCAATGTTTGTTCTCTGGTTTATTCTCAGCTCTCGTTTTTCGCTGAGTCTTCTATGTATCTTTATTTTGCCGTTGTATAGTGCTATATGTTGCCTTTGGGTAGAAGGCAGTTTCATAAATGTGACTAATAAAACAAATTATGATAAATATTATGGGCACGGATATATACTATTTAAAATTATGGGAATCCATGTATTTTGTCCACATCCATGAGAGTTCTTCAGTTCATCAAATGATGACTGGTGTATGCAGATTTTGCCTGGCAGTTGAATGAAGAGTATGATTTTTGTGAATCAAACAGGACCATATATCGAACATTCTCTTTTGCTGAAGTGAAAGAAGAAGCCTGTATCACCCAAGACTGAAAAGCAGTATTGATCACAGAACAAGCACTGAAAACAGGAAAAAGTCAAGATTATTATTATTATTTAAATGAACACTCAACTTGCACACTTAACTATCGGCTTAGTAAGTGCTGAAGAATTGACCAGTGGGGAATCAAATGACACATATGTATGTGTGAAATACTGCTAATGCAGTACACTGCATTATGAAGTGTGCTGTCTAATTCAAAAGCCTACATACTGCTTTGCAGGCAAAAGTTTGGTTCCATTGATAATAACACTTAATCTTAATTTAATTTCCTTTTTTAAAAGAATAGAAAAACAAAATAAACCATATTCCATGGAAAGATATATATTTATCTGGAATTATTTTGACTTGGTAGATTCCAGCAACAATCAAGTCTTTACATATACAAAAAATGACAGATGTTTACATGACAACAAAAAACTCTCCAAGGGTTTGTTAAAAGTCCAGTGAATTAGTTTCAATCTTTTAAAAAAATCATGTTTTACAAGTTACCTTCCACTAAAGTAAAAAAAGAAAGTTCAGATTCTTAATATGGAAGGGCCCAGTTCAAGTAAAATCAAGTGTGTTTAACTGCATAACCCTGTATGTGTCCACTCAGAAATAAGACCCATTGATTTACGTGGGACGTATGTGTAGATATATTCCTGCCTAACATCCCACTATTTTCAGCTGGGAAGTTAAGCATACTTAAAAAAAAAATCCTCCACTTCAAATCAATGTGACTGTGAGGTGTGCGGCTTTTAGCTGGACTGGGTCCCTGCAAGTTAAATGGATACTACACACTCAGATCCCTTTCCTAAACCATCGGAGGAACTTTACAGTATTTAATATTGGGTAGGTAATGATTTAACTGTGTAAAAAACTGTATAAATGGAGGGAAAGGTATTTTTATTCAGGTTGGTGTATTAGACAGATCAGTAGGCTCCCATACGCTAGGGCATGCCATGATCTATATAATTTGAAATCATTTAGGTGTGCCACGAAACTGACTTTAAGTTATATTTGGTGCCAGTTTTGAAGGGGTCCTTATCTGCTTTGAGACAGGGTCTATAAAGTGAAGGGGGAAAATAGTTTCGTGTGGCAGCAAAAGGGTTAAGCCATTTCCCCCCCTCACTTTGCCCGTTTCAAATTACAATGAGAAGCCTCTTCTCTCCCAGCAGGGTTGTGCTTACATTAGCTTTTAGATCTCTCTTGAAGGGAGCTGCTATGTTTTTGCCTGCTAGAGGTGGAAATAACATTTAAGGAACTGAAAGAGGCTGGGTGGATTTTCAGAAGGGGCCTTTTTATTTCTTCCCTTCCTTCCTTCCCTCTTGAGTGAATTGAGGGCGACCTTTCTGTGCGTGGGCACATGCTTCAGATTGGCTGGGGCGCTAAGCAGCGTGTAAAGATGTTCAGGGTCTCAACTGGATACTGAGAAAAGTAGAGGTCACGCCACCAAGCTGGAGATCAAGACTTTTGTTTCAGGAAATCAGGCAAAGTGGGAAGCGTGTTGGTTAATTAACTGATGAGAAACCACAGCAGAAGATTAACTCAGGGAATGCTTATGTGTGGCTGAGGATTATCTCCTGTTTACACAATCCCATCCCAAAATCTAGTCCTTCAAAGGTCTACACAGGAATGCCTTCTTCAACCGACCAAGTGCTGGTCTCCAGAGCCAACCATGCAGAAGAAACAGTAACAGCGGAAAACTGGAACTCTGAATTTCAGCTTTCTTAGAAAGAACAACAGTCTGAGATACTGTGTAATATTTAAATAAGAGGGGACATAAGATTACCATGATGTTATGTGCAGAGGCAACAACGCTGACATGAAGAACAGGTAATTCAAAATTTAGCTATCTTCCTTTTCCTCAACTCCCAGGAAGTCAGATCTCATAAGAAGGCAGCATAAGCTGTAGAAGGGAAACGGCATTTTTTTTTAAAAAAAAGTTTTTTGTGTGTGTGTTTGATAAAAGACAAAATATGGACCAAATTGTGCTCAGAGCTCTGGTGAGCTTGGTCTGGAATTATTGGATTTTGATGGGCTCTGCTAAGGGGGGCATTGGAGACAATCATGTTCACTCCAGTTTTATTTACCGGAGGTTACGGAACCATGAAAGGAGAGAGATTCAGAGAGAAATTCTGTCCATCCTGGGTTTACCTCACAGACCCAGGCCTTTTTCTCCTGGCAAACAAGCTTCCTCTGCGCCTCTCTTCATGCTGGACCTATACAATGCTATGACAAATGAAGAAGATGCTGAAGAACTGGAGTATTCACTGAGAGGATCTCTGAGTGGGGAGAGCAAAGGGCTAAGGAAAGGGTACCCTGCAACTCCAAATGGATACTCTCGGAGACTACATGCACCACGTACTACACCATTGACCACCCAAAGCCCTCCCTTAGCTAGCCTGCATGATACCAACTTTCTAAATGATGCAGACATGGTCATGAGCTTTGTCAATCTAGGTATGTATCATGTTTTCCTCAAGCATAATAACAGTATGTATGTAGTTTGACAATCCTGCTGTCAGGATCTCTAATTTTGCTTGTAATGTCAAAACTGGAATGTGTGCTATTAATACAAGTTAAAGTTGCACTACTGGAGAAAAGAAGCTACATTGTAGGTGGCCAGTTTGACGCAGGGGGGTGGGACAGGTTTCTTGTACTGTTTATATAAAGTCAGCTTCTATTGCTCCCTTCTCCCGGCTTCTGTTTTCCGTATTTCGTTGATGTAATGGAAGCTCTGGCCTTAGGCAAGCTGCTTAATTTTTGCTTTAAAAAAATCAGACTTGTGTGTTGGCATATGATTCATTTTACGACTTGAAAATGAAACATCATTGAATAAACAATGTTCGTTACTTAAAGATTATAAAACTACATGGGAGAAGAAGCAAAGTTAAAACTGACTGTCTTTCAGTGGTTTCTCAGAAACAGAAACACCTCATCTCGTGTTTACTGGGACACAATTTTGAGGCAGTTCAGTGGGACATATTTCCAGTGAGTGCATATTAGATTGCAGCTTTAAATGGATTTCAAACACATCTAGAATACATCTCTTATTTTTCCTATTTGGCTAAAGCTGAAAGGATGAAATTGTCTTGGAGTGTGGGATGCATTGCCATTTCCTTGCTATGTTACAGTAGATCCCTAAATCCTACATTTGTAATGTTTTACCATGGATTCTACTCAGGATCACTTTGTCTCATATAAGAATAAAGAACACGCTTCTTCCCCCCTCATCCGCCTGAAAGTTTGAAAAATACCAGTACTAAAAATTGTAGTATCAGAAACAGAGAATGATGAATTGAGAGTATCGTAAAAATTTGGTACCGTTTTTAAACATACATAATGATACAGTTCACTCTATAAGGAAATAATAAGTGACGTGCCCACCTTTAAATGGAAAGGTTATTTTAAGGATGTTGTTAATAAATGATCAAATATCTGTCTTTACCCATTTAAAAGTCCAAGGATGAAAAACATAAGCTGGTCTGTAGTAAGCTGGGTTTATTCACCTCTCCCCACACCAAGGATTTAACTGGGGTGGGTTGGTGGGAAACGTACTTTTCATACAGCAGGCATACAAGGTGTGATTAATTCTTGTTTCCCACTGGAATACTTTCTTAACCATTAGCATATGATGTGTAATACTTCTTGATGACTTTTATAGGATTTCTAAAGGGTTTCTAAATTCCTATATGCTATAACAGGTTACTGTAAAACTTTGAGAAGTAAAAAAACTGCAAAAGTTTAGCTGCCAGAAATATTACAGAAATTTGCTACTTATTTGGTAGCAGAAATGTTTTTGAAACTCACTGAAAATGAGTCACAAATCTAGAGTGCTTTAAGACCCTTGCAGAACTGGGTTTTTAGCAAGTGCAGATGTTCCTTGAGAGTTTCATTTTTCACATTACTTCCGCAAACTGCCCTGTTACTTTTGCTTTGGTCTGATTTTGGACTGATTGGAAGTGACTAAATGTAAGAAGATCTGCATAAATCAGTGAGCAGGATGCTGGAAAGTATGGCAGAAACAGGTAGATGTACACATATTTTAAGGGAGATTCTTGATAAAGGTAAATTGAAATGTTACTATGTCCTCATCTGCTCTGAACACTTGCAATTTGGCCTCTCTGGCTGAAGCAAGGTGATTCAGTAAATGAACCATAATGTTCAGATCTCTTTTTATCCCACAAAAACTATCAGTACTTTGATTCGTAGTAATATACAAAATTCCAGTTCGAATGGATTTCAATTTGAAAGTTGGATCTTTCCCTCTTCAAATGTAGCATTAGTCAGTATCTAACTTCCAAATCAATTGAGATATAGGCTCAAAAGTTAGATTAAAAAGCAATTCTGTTATCACAAACACAATATTTCACATTTTAAGATCACGTCATTACGTGCTCTGTATAGAATCTTGACAGGAGGGCTTGTCCAGTAGATAAAATATATAGACCCCATTGAAGTATCAAGCTTCCAATGTAAACTGAATAGCTTTATTTGAGTTTGAACTATTTGAATTATTAAATGTATGATTGGCACTCAGAGTTATTGAGTTCTAGATTCATTTCAGTGGCCTTCCATACCTGTGCATTATATTTAACTTTGCACATTTTGCAACATTTACTTCAAATATTTCATGTAGCCTACTCATTTAAATAAAGTTCATTCAACTGCCTTACAACTCAAAAAGCCCACAATATACTCAATAACTGGGGAGAATACGTGGTGTGAATTCAATGGGACTCACTTTTGAGTAGACACATATAGGAGTGTGCTGTAAATTGCTCATGCAGGTGTCATTGTTTGCTTATCTTACCTGCAATCAATCAGGGATAACATGCAGAAGAGGAAAAATATTGGCAGATAAAAGACTGCTCCTGCTTTAATTAGGAAACATTTGTTATATGATGTGTAGTATCACTAAATCCATTTAAGATTTGAACTTCCAGAAACTAGCAATCAAATGGTTCCATTCTGGTGGCAGTTTTGTGCCTGCTTAAGTGAAGGTCCATTATCAAATTACTATGCATTAATCCCCGCACGACGTGATAAGGAATTTACATAAATCATTGCCTTTGCTAACTGTAACTGCTTAAAAGGTCCTAGGCTAGAAATAACAAACGGGAAGTGTTAAGTCCTAGAAAGGCTGTTTGCTGCGAGCGCAAGGCAATAAAATTATTCTTGAGGGAGATGTGAGTTATACGGAAAAGTTCCTCTTGAGAAACAAAAAGTCGTTTCAGGCATAATAATTATTCCGGGAGAATAATTTTGATAATGTTTTGTTGGTTTGCTAATAGAACTTGGAATGCTGAAGAGGGGTTTGCAATGGCAGTTTTAAAATGTACTGGACCTACATTTAAGAAGGAAAAGGAACTCAGTTGATTTTAAGATGTTCCCATTGTTTCGGAATAATGGTTTTATTTCCCTTCTTCGAAAGGGCAAGTATAAAACATTTCCTTCTGTTTTCTCTACTCCAGGGAGCATTATAGTTTGTGTTCATGCCAGTGGAGCCTGTACTGTTTGAAAGGACACTTGGTAAACCCTGGAATTGTCAACTGTGGCCTTTCTTTTTAAAAAGACAGGATGTTCCAGCACATGTACAACAAACACCTTTCATGTCCCACTCCCCTGAGATAGGTTTCAAAAGCATCTCTCTCCCGTCTCCCCCACCCCAATGCATTTCTCACCTGGGCCCTTCATTCTACCCTTTACAGAATCTGAGTGAACTGACATCAGCTTAAATTCTGCACTTGCCATCCACTTTTTCTCAACTCCTAGAGGTCTTATTCTGTACGTCCCTTCTCGGAAGTTGACCGCATGAGATTCAGTGAGACTTGACACCCAGGCAACTGGGTGTGGGAGCGCAGCTAAAGAGAGGTCAATCCATGCTGTTGCTACTCGTGCCCTTAGATTATGAAAGCAGAAAAAAAACTTGGTGCCATCTTGCGCACCCTCCTTGATAACTAATCATAGGAAGGAAAACTGCCTGACCCTTTGAGCAAAGTCTTGAAAATGGGAAAGTCCAACAAATTAATTTTAAAAGCTTACTTCCGTTCTTCATTAAAATTCATATCCATCACGGATTATACCTGTTTTGCCTTATGGATTGAAACAGGACTGTGCCTCCCCCCACCCCTTCTGTCCTCTTTTAAAAATATTCGGTACTCTTGCTTTGAAAATCTGAACTGCAAAACTGGTGTGATGTTTTACTGCTTCCTCGTTCTAATCTGCCATGTGTGAGGTAGGGTTTGGGGTGGGCAGTGTTCCTGGTGAAATTGCTATGGTGTGCTTCATTTCCATTTAGAATCAATACTTCTTACTTAAGCACAGCGATATTTTAGAAGAACTTTGCCCTGGAAAAACTCATGTACAAAACCTCCAGCAGCAATCTAGTCACTGAAATGATACAAAAGTCTATTTCCCTCCCTTCTTGGATGCACACCTTAACATGGTGAAGGGGTTTGAGTGTGTCAAGGAAGCTGAGAGCAATACCATCAGGAGGCTAGACCTCATTGCAAGCCTGGACTCCTAGCAAGGTTGCCCAAGGCAGAAAGATCACAGCTGAGACACCAGACTAAGAAGCGTCCACCCTTTTCAGGAGTAATGTCAGCATTAGTAGAAGAGAATGGTTAGTTTCAATGGTGACTGCGGGCTGAGAAACCTTTGGAGGGCAGCTACTGGACAGTAATGGTAGGTGATGATGACACTGGTGGAAGATCTTTCACAGACAATGGCAATGACATTCAAGCTAATTTTTGTTAATACTGAGCAGAAGGTGGAAATGATAAACCAGTGTTGAGCCCTTCTTACAGTGGACCCTTGACTTACAGACGGCTTGACTTACAGACTTTTTGAGTTACAGACTTCTCTGGCCGCAAAATTTAGGTTTGACTTGCAGCCTGAGATTTGACTTACAGACCAGAAAAAAACCAAAATGGAACAAAAACAGCCTGTTGCGGGATTAATCGGTTTTCAATGCACTGTAGCTCAATGGAGACTTGACTTACAGACTTTTTGACTTGAGAACCGCCTTCCAATACGGATTAAGTTCTCAAGTCAAGACCCCACTGTATGTTGAAAAACCTTATGATGGGACAATCCAATCTGATAAAGAGATAGAGCTGCAAGATGAGACTCCCAGGTTGGAAGGCACTCAGTCAGCTACTGGGGAAGAGAAAGGACAAATACAAATGGTGCTGTCACTAATGATGCAACTAGATCAGTGTTTCCCAATATTTTTTGAGTCATGATCCCCCTTTTATAATGGCCAAGTGACCTGTGCCCCCTCTATCACATTACTGCGACCCCACCTGCCTGCTCATGGATTTATTGAACTTAGTAAGACTCACTTATGAGTAAATCCGCACATGATCAGACTACCATTCAAACAAGACTATAAGGCCATGTTCACTTGGGTGTCAGTAATCCTCCTCCAGCTCCCATGGGACTTGTTTCCAAGGAAA